TTGAGAGCTATCACCAGGGACAAGTGGCCTGCCAGGGCTGCAGGGGACAAGATCCATCGAGAGAGAGCCAGGAGGAAGAGCTGGAAGGTGACTCTCTGGAGGGGAGCTGGAGCCACAGGGCATGGTTTCCTACCTCCAACAACAGCAGCGTGATCACATCTGCCCCAGGAAGAATGCTGGCTCTCAGGAGCACCCTTCAAACAACAGAGCATCCCCTTCCCCAGGAGGACAATGCCAAAGCCTCTTGCGAGTGCCAGGCCTGTGGCCCATTCTGGCAGCTCCAGACTCTGCTTTGTTTCAGCTTGTTCTTCTGATAGGTAAATTGCCTGAATTAACGTTGAGGTACAATATAGCTACAATATCCCTGTGAAATATCTCAGGAAGGTAATTTGCTCCCCATTAGCAGCTGGTTAGCAAATAAACAATTTCCAGAGGAGAACTGCACAAACTGAGCTCTGATGGCACTGAAAAGAACAGGATCGCGCAGCAACTTGTTTGCAATTAGTAATTAAAGCCATGGAGGCACATGATGGTCAGAGGCAGAGCTACTAAAAACCTGGCTGAAATATTCACAGTTCTATGGAACGTGTCTCTCCATGGCTGTGCAAAGCTTTTGAGGAAAAGCTCACCAAACAATGCAGCTACCTAATAAAAACCTTCATTATAAGGGAAAACCACCATTGACCCGTGTACTGAGCTTACTGCTCTTTTTATGCCTCTTTCTGCGTTCTCTGGAGGCAGATTTCATGGCACCCCTGTCTGTGCTGAAGGCAGAGGGTTGGTGCAGCCGCCCGCTTGCTCCACTGCAGCCAGGCATTGCTTAGCAAAGGCAAAATCATAGGTTGTTTTTTCTGTTGTTCTGCAAAGCCAGGAACTCCATCTCAGCGCCTAAACCCGTTGTTATGATTTGTGTTATTCTTGGCACGCTGACCGAAGTGCGCTCGGTATGAATAGCAGAGAGCTGAAAAAGTAAATATTGTATCCTCTGGGAGCAGCAGGGAGGGGAGGGTGGTTCTATTGCTTAATGGAGCACCCCCAGTGCCTGTTTGGGTTAGGCTTACAGTAATTGCTCCCTAGGTGAGTTTATACCAACAATTGATTGTTTCAAATGGGAAAGAAGTACAAATGAGTAAAAGAATAAACACTGGCAGTGTTATGAAACGCAGGAGAGGAGAGCAAAAATCCTACGCAGCTCAAGCGTGGGGCTGAAAGCAAAGCTGGCCAGAAAATAGGGGATACTGTTTGCTCTCTCTGCAATTTCTCATGAATGCTGAATGATGCAAGGAAAGAAATTGAATTTTCTACTTAAGCTCAAGCTACAAGAGCTACTTTCCACAGCCTTATCTTCCTCAAAGAGTTCAAGGAGACTCCTGTGTGTTCTGGAAAAACACACAGCTCTTGGCATGAGCTGTGAGCAAGTGGTGAGAAGACAAGGAGCAGGAAGCCAATAGGCATGATGGAGGAGCTCTGGGCTGAGTAACCTCAGTGTAAAACCCACTGTTCCCTTTCATGGGCCCTGGCTGGGCCACTGCAGCTCTCCTGGGGTGCAAGGCCTGTGGGGAACAGCCCCATCCCTGCACTCAGCCTGTGCTGGTGGGGCTGGTCCCCTGCTCCCCACAGCTGTGTCCCCGCATCACAGCAGTGTGTCTCACCTCCTGCTCGCCTTTCTCCTGCTCCATCTCCGAAAGGGCCCAAACCAACCCCAAACTGGGCTCTGGAGTCTGCACATCTCTCTGCTAGGCAGGGGACCAGCGCTGGCCCAAGGACACGGTGTCAGCTCCAAGGACTAGGATCTGCCTGTCAGCCCTGAGCTGCTGCCACAGGGTCACTGCAGCAAGCTCAGACAAACCAGTGCTGCTGAATGTCTTCTGAGCATCTTTTGCTGTGCTCGTGCTAGTAGTAGCTAGTGATGGTTGTGATGGTCCCAGGAGGGGATGCTCAGGTTTGACATGGGATCTTGGAGGCAATCCTCAGGTTTGACTTGGTGTGCCTGAAGCACTCTCTGCCCTTGGAGGGTGAGGAGGAATGAGGATGATAAGTCTCCATTCTTCTAGGAATTCCCACTGAAGGAAGGGCATGGGATGGCCCAGCAGTCCCCAGATGGCAGGCCATGCAGTGCAGGAGCTGCCAGCAAGCTCTGCTTCTGCCCCGGAGCAGAGCCAGAGGCAGCACCCTTCAAAAAGGCTGAGCTGGCAGCCCCACAGCAGCCAGCCCTGGGCTGTCACAGCGGCTTCTGCAGCTGAGCTCATTAGTGCCTGCAATCAGCAGAGGATGAAGGGGAGGTAATTACACAGGCAGCACAGCCCAGGCTGCGTGCAGGGTCTATATATAACTCCGTGCAGGTCTACACTGCCTGTGGTGCTTAGTCATGGCCCTGGGGACCGTGTGGGTCAGGATGGGTAGGCACTGCTGTGTAGGGAGCTGCAGCACTGGGACACGTGTGGTGCCTGGGGAAAACCACCCCGAGATGAATTAAATGCTTCACTCACTACATCTTTCCCAGCTGAAAAAATGCAGTGAGTTTCCCAGTGGAATGGTGTCTTGAACAAACATAAAAAGGGAATGTTTTTTTTTTGTTTGTTCATTTGTTTTAAAACCTAAGGTAAAGGTTTTAGCCTGAGGCCACAGTAGCTACATGAAGGTGTACCCCTCACAGAGAAGGAAAGGTGCTCTCAAGCCTGTGGGGAGCATCCCCTGGCCACAAGTGGAGAGTGCCCAGCGCCTGGCCCAGCTGCGGGGCAGGGGGTCACCTGGCTCCTGGGGCCAGCAGCCATGGTGTCACCCTGTGGCAATGCCATCCCAAACACATCACGGTGCTTTCAGGCCAGCCCTGATACCCAGAGCTACCCCAGAGCTGCTCAGCTCCAGGAAGAAGCCACGTTTGCTCATCACCCCACTGCTCCCAGGGCTGGTGACATGAGCCACCTGGCCTGTATTTCCAGCACAGCCGTTTCCAAACTGATAGCAAGGTCCTGCCCTGGCAGGCGTGGCCCCATGTGTCACTGGTGCCACCGGTGTGCCCTGACTGGCAAGCGCAGGGCTGAGTCCTCACAGCAGCATCACTGGGCACAGCAAGGGCTGTGCACACGGGGCAGCCCCAGGAGACACTCAGAGCAGTCACAGGGGCCTCAGGACACACCACCGTAATGATGAAGCACCAGTGCCAACCATGGGACCGTGACACTGCACCAGGAAGCCCTGCCTCCTCTCTGTTTCACCCAGCAAGCCTGGGACAACAGTGTGGCACTTGCTAGGGCAGGGGTGATGTGAAGTGTTCCTGGGGCTGCTCCTGGCGACCCCAAACAGCTCACACGTAAACCAGAACAGACACTGAGCAAAACCTGCCTGCCTCCAGAGTGCCAGAGCACAGCAGCAGCTCTGGCTGGCCAAGCCACTGCAAACCCTCCTTGTCCTTAAGGGTGCATCACCACCATGCATCACCCACCCTGAATCCTGCCCCGATGCAGCCTCCAGTACCCTGGCTGACCACCTTGCTTTGCACAGCATGGCCTGATCACCTTGGGTTTTGGTGAAAATGTGAATCTAATGCAGCAGGCTACTGCTTCTTTCACCCACCCTCTAATCACCTCTTCCTTCCCTGGGGATCTGAAAATACTTAAAGCCAAGCTTTTGTGCTATTTGGAAATGGATAGGTCCAGCAAATCAAAGAAGGCAGGGTTAGGGCTGTTCCCCTGACATCAGTCAGAGGGAGGGGAGCCTCTCCCACAGTAAAGAGAAATGTTCACGGGCACAGGGAAAGGGCCCAGGAAACTCCTGCCATGCACTGTGAATGCTGTTAATAGGCTAAGCCATAAGTAGGTCCCCGGCACTCTCTCTTGCACGTGCACATCACACAGATGCACACACAGATGCACACACAGACACACCTGTCTCAGTGTAAAAACAAGCAGGGCTGAAAGTGGGTTAATGTGCTTGTGCAGCTCCTCTGACAGAGGCCTGTGCAGGAGCCTGCAGCCGGCAGCTGGGCCAGCCGAGACAGGAGATACTGAGGGAGCAGAGCACTCACGCCTGGAGACCGCTCACTCACAGCCTTCCAAACCACCCCCCGATGATCTTGGTTCAAAATCCAGTTTCTGTGCTGGCCCATTTAGTTGCATCACTTGCTGGGGACAGATGTGGGATAAGCTATGTGGGGCACCACATTCAACTGCCCAACAGATAAACATCAACTACTTTTTAATCATGATAAGAAGAGCATGAAATCTCCTATTGCAGAGACAGTTGTGCCACAGAAAGCCAGCCGAGTGTGTTCTACATCTGCAGCTTTATTCTCATACGAAAGGTTAAAGGCAAAGCTAGAAAAATTAACCCACTGGTAGACACTCACTGAATGCTTCTAAGGCAAGATAGGGAGGTAAAACTTTTATTGCTACGAAGAAGCAACAGAAGGCTTTAAAGCTCATCTAGTGTTCAGCTTTTATTTGTAAGTAGCCCAATTTAAAGCAGCTTTTCAGTCTTTAAAACCCTCTCGCCTTTCTGGAATGCTTCAAAAGGAAGATGACCTGAGGACGGTGTGTTCTCTCCAGAAGGATCAGACAGATGCTCTGCATGAGGTGCAGAAAATGGCCACCAAGAAATGCCGAACGAAACCCAACTGCCTGGCTGTGGGCTTCTGCTGCTCATCAGACAAGGCAAGGCTGCACAGCACCCCGAGCGCAGCACCCTGCCATGTGCAAAAGCAGCAGTCACCTGATGACCCCTTGGCTGTCCCCATGCCTGAGCAGCTGTGGCACAGATGAGCACCACATACTTGCCCCAAGCAGAGCTAGGAGCTGAGTGTGAATGTCCTGCTCCATCTACTGGACTGCACTTCCTCTTGGAGGGGTGAGGCCACAGGCAGTGAGATACTGAATGTTCTTGGGATCCCCCTGGGATGCAATGGATGGGGCCTGGCCATCCTTCCCAAGCGGTTGCAGGTGCACCCACTACAGCTCTGTGGGGCTGGCTGCAGCCTGAGATGCTCCTGGGGTGGCGGTGCCCTAGTCTTCAGGGATCGGGGTGTTGCAGTTCCCGTGGTAAATCTTGACCTCACCCTCGCACTGGAAGTACTGGTCGAACACGTCACTGTATCCATGGTCCTTCCACCATGTGCAAAGCTGACGGTTCCACGTACAGTCGAGCACATGGAAAAGCTCTGGGTGCTCCATCCCCACCATGGTGAAGAAATCCTGGTCCCCAAGGTGGCCCTTGAAGTGGTACTTCTCCGTCAGCTTTTGCACCATGGTGGGCTCCAGCAGCTGGTTGTAGAGCTTGGACTGCCTCATGGCTTCCAGGTTCAGGAGCAGGACACCACTGTTGAAGCCAGGCAGCCCATCAGGGGGGGGATCCCCCACTTTGGTTTGGGGGTTCTCACGGCGGTACTGCCAGAACGTGTGCCTGCAAAGAGAGGAAAAACAGGAACAGGGGAGTCAGGGGAGTGCAGCTCAAAGAGCAGCCACGTCAAGTGTGGGCAGGTCTGGATCACAGCACAGGATCTACCACCCAAGGCATCTCACAGTGCTTGTCTTCTGCTGGCTGAAGGCACCCAGAGCAGCCTGTTGTTTCACGGGCTGCGCCTCCCTCCATCCCTCTGCACAGGATGTTGCCCAGACCTCAAACCACTACTCTTGCTCTCTCCTAAAGCCCCTTTTGTTTCCACCAGCATCACTCTGGTGAACCATCTGGACACAGGATCGTGTGACAGCTCACATGGCTGTGTGGTAGACAAAACCACATCCCCAGTGCCTAGGGGGAACCACCAGAAGTGCCCCCTGGCTGGTACATGCCAGGAAAATGTCCTGCAGTTAATGGGATCTCAGCAGCAGAGCTCACAGCATCATTATTATTAGATGACAGGGAAGCTCCAGATCAAAGATGAGCCCCAGCTTGAGGCTGTGCAAAAAGAAGGCTTGAAGTAAATCTAAGTAGCAGAAATAGTTCTTAAAAATAGAAGAAGAAATCCAATGGCAACAGGTCATTAGCTAAGCAAGCACTGCTGTAGTAGCTCTAGCAGATGCAATCTTCACCAGCTCATTTCCAGCTGCCAAGGAAGAGAGAGTGGTGCAAGTATAGCAACACACAAAACTAAATCCAGAGGGTGATTCGAATGGGAAAAATTTAGACTACCTGAGCAAGCAGCCCAAAAACGTCTTTGGCTCCTTCCTCAGCCCTGGGGCAATGAGCACACCCCACCATATGCACACCAGCTGCTCCCACTTGCAGGAATTGAATTCATCTCATGCTATTCACCAAGCAGCTGGGGTTGAATCTGTCCCAAAACATCACTCCCATTCAGACTGAAAGCCTTCTGCCCCAAGCAGCACCCTCTGCTGCAAAGCTGGGCAGCTGAGAGCTGGTTGAACCCACAGTTCAGAGCACCATTTTGATTCCAAGATCTGGAGCACCACAACCATCACGCAGCATTGCTTCCTTACAACTTTCCATTTAGATGCTTTAGATTCAAACCTCTGATATTTCTCATTTCAGGAAGGGTCTTTACACTGCTCCCTTTCACCTGATTCAGGACAGAAGGGGTTTTTCCAAGTGCCATTTTTCCATGGAAGGAGGGCTCATGTCCATGCCTCCCGGGGAAGGGGAGCGGAGGCCTGGCTGTCTCATCAGAGCCTGCAGGCAGCAGTGCTCATTTGATCTAAAGGGCAGGGGAGGGATAAAAGGGCTCTGCCTCTGCAAAGAGCAGCTATATCTTGGGGAGAGGCACCAGGTCACTGCAAAGACAACTCATAGATGCTCATGAGAAAAGGAAGGCAAAATGCTCTCCACACTGCATGAGAGGGAAGCTCAGCCTGCAAGGACAAGACACAGACAGGGGCTGATCAGCTTCCCAAGGTGCTCAGGTCCAGGGCACCGAGCAGAGACTGGCTCAAGCCCACCTCCGCAGTGCCAGGAAAGCCATCCCCATGCCCAAGAATTGATGCTGGAATCTGGCAGGAAGGAGAGGGGGAGCAGTGCTGCAGAGGGAGGCACCTTTCCAGCTCCACAGCAGCAGAGCCAACTCCTTTCACATTCTTACCTCCAAAACATGCTGCCCAAGCTAAGGGATGGGTTTACAGCCCCTTGCAGCTGAAACAGGAAATATGCAAGTGCCCAAGCCCTCAGCATCACCAGGCCGCAGTGGGGTGAAGCAGATCTGTATCATGACTCGGTTTTCCAGCAAAGCCGTTCCCCAGTGGATTACTCAGTGACAGCTGATAACAAGGAGGGAGCAACATGCCCTTTTCTGCAGGGAGAGGAGACCGACCGAGAAGCAGCAATTGTTCAGCCCTTCCTCCTGGCACTGGCGTGACAGGGCCATCCTCCCCTGGCTGTGCACGGGGACCATGGGGTAGCGGGCTTGGGTGGGGAGGACGGGGACGTCCCTGGGGAACAATGCTGGGATGAGATCCAGGATGTGATGAGCTGTGGGTGGCTCTGCAGCACCAAGGCTCGGGAGCCCGCTCACAGCACCACACCACAGCCTTGCCAGTACTGGGCTCGGGCCAACCGAGGGAAAGGTATTCTGGCTGGGCCACTGGCAGCACTTTGATTTCACTTGGCTTTTGTCCTTCTAATAGAGAGTTTTGGTGGTGTCCTTCTGCAAGGGCCAGGACAGAGAAGAGTGTGGTTGAAAGGCACCTCTACCCAGCTGGAAGTGGAAGGAGTGGTGGGTACAAGAGCATCATGTTCGTTGGAGGAGATGGAGCTGAGGAAGCACAGCAAGCAGCCAAACAGCTAACCCAGCCTGAGCCCTGCACTGCTCTGTCCTGCCTGACATCAGCCCTTGGTACCCACCTCTAACTGTGGCACAACATGGGGGGAAATCCAAGGGCTTGATAAGCACGCTGCCAGGATGAAGGGAGGGGGTGTTGGGGCTAGCCCTGCAGACAACCCCAATTAGACACAATGGAGATATCTCCCTGCCCCAAGCCCCTGGAGCAGCCGGGATCTCCCTTGGGACAGGCAGTTCAGGCAGGGCAGCATGTCACCAGCCTCTGCTCCGGGGTACCCTCCTCTCTACCCCCCAGCAGTGAAAACCAGGACAGGAAGGCAGCCTGGAGATGCCGGGATGCAACAGGGCCAGGATGTAATGGGGCAGGAAGCTGCTGGCCAGGAGGAGGGGAGGAGAAAGGAAGAGGAGGAATTTCAGGCTTTTGTTAACCTCTAGACTGGAGGGGAAATAGGTGACCCCAGGCTCCAGCCCCTGTAGCATGGTGTGGGGGAGCCATGCAGGGCCACTGCCGCAAGCACCTGCCTGCAGCCCCAACGGGCTTCGCTTTGAGGAGCTGTTTATAAACAGAGCTGGCGTGTGCTAGGAAACATCTGGAGAAGAGCATTTCCAAGCATTCAAATGCCGGGCCCAGGCAGCCCAGATAAAACCCCCTGCTTCCACTGGGACTTCCCTTGCTGCCTGGCGCAGGGCGCTCCCAGCACCTCCCCTGCCTCGCAGGCCAGTGGTCACGAGCCTCAGATCAGCCAGAGCTGCCACTGCACCCTTTAAAACTGGAGGTAGCTGCCAGGGGCAGATGGGACTGCTCCAACTGCCAGCTGTATTTTGCTGGTCCTTCTCTTGCTTTCATGCACAGCAAGAGGCAAATGTTGGGTGGGTGAAAGGCTTTGCCCACTTGTTTACTTCAGCTCTAGGTTATGGGACAACCTCATGGGATGAGCTGGAAACTGCTGGTAAAGCAGCACAGTGACCTTGCTGGCAGAAAAGGTAAGGTGGAGGAGTTACTCCCAGCTGGGTGACCCGCAGCAAGCCTGAAGCACTGATCCCACAGTCAATAGACTGGGCATGTGTGCCTGTACCCATCTGAGATTTTCAAGAGGCTGCAACCTTGCCACATCAGCTGTGTGGCTGCCACTGGCCTTGCTGATGAGGACGTGGATCCTCCCCATTCAGGACAGGCGGTAGCAGTGGGCCAGCACCTTGAGGACACACTTAGTTACCAAATCCCTTTCATGGGGATCAGGGCTGGAGGACCCTGAGCCCCAGCCAGCCAGGCATGGGGCTCCTGGCAGAGAAGGGAAGCATGGGCTGCTGGCCGTCTTCCTCTGTGTCACTCCGGCAGCAGCCCTGCCAGCCCAAACACCAACTAAAACAACAAGCGCACGCTCTTGCTACCTCTAAATATGCTTTTTGGTTCCTGAGCCAGAAAACAAATGTCCGGCAGCGTTATCCCCAGCTGCAACTGCTGGCAAACACTGCTGTTCCTGTGCAACAAGCATCGAGGTGCGAGCGTGCTGTGCTCCTCACTCCGTGCTGCTACCAGTGCTCCCCTGGGCGGGCAGGAGCATGAGGCATGTGGCTGCGGTCCTGCTGAGCAACCCCCAGCCAAGTTGCCCACCTGCTGGTGACCAGCGAGCCGGCTGAGGCAGCGAACAGGATGGGAAATATGCTGTGTTCTGATGGTGATGTAGGGACATGGCTGAAATGGAGGAGGGGAGAACAAACAGAAGGGGTAAATAATTGTAAAGGCTTCTAGGGTAACAGATAAAGGCTTAAAAGAAACCTGGTTCCTTGCAACCTGGATGATGGTGTCATCATCCAGGGGATGATGGTGGCTTTTGCCCCTAATCGTCAGCAAGAAATAAGAGCACAACCAAGAAACCTCCCTGTACCTTTCTCCTCTTGGCTAAACCTCACTGTGGCAGGCAGCTGCCAGCCCCTTAGCACCACTCTGTTCAACCAACATTAACCCTCAGGAAAAGGCTGTCACCCCTTCCTGCAGCTCCCCGCTTCCTCCAAAGGCACTGCTGCAGTTTCTGCCACAGCTCGAAGTAAGCAGCTCCCCCAGCTAATCTACGCTCCCCCTTCCCACCCTGGCACTGCTGGACTCTGGCTGGCGTGAACTCACCCCTGCTGAAGACAGAGGCTTTGCAACAAAGAGGCCCTTGTTGCTAATTGCTTATTTCCCATGTGCAAACACTAAATCCCTTAAGGAGCTGGGGTGGCAGGTTCAGTACCAGGCTGGCCCAGAGTGCCTTAGCTGAGGCTGAGCAGCTTGTGTAAGCCAGGAAATCTCAGCTCTGTGCTCCTCGGGAGCAATATCATCACCAACACAATGGTGCCCCTTGCCCTGAAGCGGAAAACATCACCGTGGTGCAAACCAACCCCAATTCCCAACCCAGGACAAAGAGCAGGATGTGTTTGTTGGTGTGCACACCAGGACCACCTTACCCTCCTCTGATGAGTTCATAGTGAGGGTCCAGCCCAGGAAGGCCTCCAGCCCCCCCCCGGAAAATGCTGACAAATTGAGTTCTTCAGTGAAGACATCAGTAATTCCTTAATAAACTTCTCACGTAATGCACAAATTATGTCTGTACAGCACTGTTCCCTACTACGGCACCATCTGCATGCCGAACTTTTAAAAGGCCTGTATTTGGAGCAGCAAATTGATTCTTG